AGGTGGTTTCTATCCAGCTTTAATTTGCATGTGTAGCAAGGCAGCTATTCCCCTGTGGCCCCTGCAGGTGGGGTGCACCACCCACTGCCCGGCTGGGAGTCTCATCAGCTACAGGATTTGCAGCTGAGGGAATTTGCTACCTACCAGTGCAGAGGGAGCCCAGGATCACCATACCAGGCTCCCCCTGCACCAGCAATAAGGTGTGATGGGATCTAATACTGGATCCCACAGCTGTGCATCAGTTCCTATCACACCTGAACATCTAGAAGGGTTCACACACATTTCAGCGGTGACACCTGAACACCGTTTTTACATTATTTGCATCTACTGTCCCTATTTTACTTTGAAGGAGAAAGCACCTGTTACCTTTCTTGAAAGACAAAGGTTCTGATCCTATAGGTCTTACGCAAATACATATCTTCCACGTTAGGACACCAATGGCAGAGTCTGACAGACTCAGTATCTACTGAACCTGGCTCTTATATGGCACCTACACTTGGGTGTCTTTCCAGCCAGCATGCTTCAATTTACTTAAAGCCACCTGATCTGCAAGGTACTGAGCATCAGTGTTTAGCATCAATGGAAGTTGAATCTTAGCAGAACTGGGCCCTAAATCCTTAAAGTTGGCACAACTGATTAATGTGCTATTAGTTTACACTTTTTATGCTCACTTATGAAAGGTCACAAGTGCTCAAGGCATCTCTTTAAAACCCTGTCCCCTGAATTGAAATGCAGGGAGTCCACATGCTTGTGTAGAGCCCCTCTGAACACAATGGGACACTCAATGGATGCATTAGTCACATCCATACGAAGCTTGGATAAACACAGTATTACTAAGTTATTTTGAATTGGAATTTCTGTAGATGACAGTAGTACCTGTATTTGTACCAATGCAGAGAAAAATTCAGCTCCACAAATAATTCTTAGGGAAAAGAATAGGTTAGCACTTATTGCAACCTTCCAAACAGGTTGTATTGCAGAAGAAATGCTGCGATGCATCTATTAAAAAAGTTATACATAATTTTGCATAATCATTCACCATATTGTTTAAGCTTATGGTTCATTAAGGATTCCTCTGATTCATGCTTAAAGTTTTGGTGGGGCTAGAAATATGTTTTAATTACAAAGAACTCATTTGATGTTAATTTACTCATTATTCACAATGACTACAAAGTGTATAACAATAACAGAAGTATACAGTGCCTCTTAAATGGGTTTTTACAACTTTATATCAAATATAGATAAAAAAATTACCAGAGTACAAGATACTTCACTTTTAAAATTTAGTTGGCTGAACTTTGAAGCTTCCAGGAAGATTCTACAGACATGATACATTTACATTCTACAAATTCCTTTAAAATATGCTTTAGAGCTCAATTCATCAAAAATGATCTAGAGCATTTCAAATGGAATGGGACTGTTCAAAGATATACAAGCATAGCTTGTGCGTCCTATACCTCTGTGCTGATCAACATAATCAACCTGGCAAGGGCTGCGTTGTTTTAAATTTGTTTGATTACACGTTTTCTTAATTTTGTAGCTGAAAAAGGGATATAATTTGTCATATAATAGATATAGGATTTCCTCCTCCCCTTTTAAATGTAATTTCTATGAAATCACACCCAAAAACTCCATGGGGATATTTGTGTCTGATTGAGCTAGGGCTTGAAAACTATCCTCTTATCAATTGTCTAAAACAGGGGTGTCCAACCTTTTTGAATGTGGGGCCGGATCATGAACTTTTTATCACCCAGTGGGCTGGCAGGAGTGGGCGCTCACACAGCCTGTCCAGTCCGGCTGCAGCCTGGGGGCGCAGGAGTCAAGGGGTGCCGCCTGACCCCGCCATGTCCTTCCTGCCACCTGGGAGGCCTCAAGGATGCTCCCACACCTGCACACCTGGGCTCAGCAGCCAGGTGGACATGTGGGGGCTCTACAGGGGGGTGCAGGATGTGCAGGGACACCCCCTTACTCCCTCTCCCCCGGGGCAGCCTGAGCCAGAGCCCAAGCCCAAGTGGCAGGGGTCCTCCCTCCCCGGGGCCTCACCACCCCCAGCACAATGTCTACGGGCGCAGGGGGATGCGGGAGCAGCGCCGGCTTCCCGCCCCGACAGCCACAGCAGCAGCAGCAGCAGCAGCATCTCCCGTGGGCCCAGCTGCAGCATCCCTCCGCGGCGGCATCCGTGCACCCTGTGCCCGCCCGCCCGCTGCACTGCGACCTGCTCCAGCCTATGTGGCCAGCATGGACCAGTACAGGGTGGGGCCAGCATGCAAATGAGGAAGGGAGGGGTGGGGCAAGGAAGGGA